GTGAGGTACATCCAAATTTGAAGCATGTTCAGGCCCAGCGTGCATGACAGGAATACTGGCAGGAGATGCCAGGAGATGCCAGGAGTGTTTCCACTTGGAACCGGAGAAGCGTGCATGTTCGTCGTCCACGCGTCGTCCATGGTGAGGGGGAGGGAGCTTCGCTTCATGAGCTGAGGAAGCAAAGCAGAAGGACGACAGACGTTCAAAAACCCCTGCAAGTGGTCCTGCAAGGACTGCTGAAAGCAACGACACGGACGTCGATCATGTGGACGGGGCAACGACCCTGAGCGGTCAACATCGACGGACGGCCACGGACGGGCAATGTGTCATGAAATGTCTGATCAAGATGGCAGGTAGGTGGCACCGTTTTTGGTATGTTATGACCAAGATTGACTAACCTAACCTTTTAGCTGAAAAAATTGTTCCTTTGTCAACTCCAGGACAGAATGAGAGTCGCTCTATAATAGCTCAAAGGATTGTTCTTGTTAAGAGAAGTATCCGCCTCCAAATCGCCTGGCAGAGGACTGATTTTTTCCCCAAATGTCCGGTTGAAACCAATGGTTCCTCATCTTGTTCCTGTAGGAGGGGCATTCGGTGATGTTGCCCAAGGACCCCAGCAACTTGGGCGAAACCGGACAGACTTTGGATCAGGACAAGTGGGCTGTTGTAATAACCCCGTGCTCAGTGGTTTAGTATTGGCATGCACCTTAACACTACTAATGCATTCCTACCCCAGAAAACGATAAGAGTAAAAAAACGATAACAATGATTATACCTGCACATTCAGAACAAAAAGCTACTAGGGGCTCCTGGCCTTACTACTAGGAACAAGAAGCTGCTAGGGACTCCTGGCCTTACTACTAGGAACAAGAAGCTACTAGGGACTCCTGGCCTTGCTACTAAGAACAATAACAGAAAGCTACTAGGGACTCCTTGCCTTACTACAAAGCAACATCGCTACCAGGAACAAGAAGCTTTTAGGGGCTCCTGGCCTTACTACTAGGAACTGAATGGGCTGTTTGGTCCATATGCTGCAGCTGTTTACATGAACCACGAAAATGGCAACCTGCAGAGGTGTCCGGAACGATAACAAAACGATAACGAAAACGATAAGGAAATATAGCAAAAAGCAGCCCTTGTGGGCAAGTACCCATTTGACTGTTTTCATTAGACCTTTTGAAGGGCAGAAGTGTGCGATGTGGTAGTCTTGTTTAGCTGTCTATATCTAATCTTTGCTGCTGCCATGTCTTTACCACCAAAAACGGTGCACGCCTTGGTACAGGCAGTGCTACGGGATCCTGAAGTAGGACCATGTAGACCACCAAAGGACATCTTTTGATTTGTGATCTTCCACCAAAGATGCTTTCACCTGAGAAAACGATACGAGTAGAAAGAAGCGATAACATGGTTTCGAGGTATTGCAAAAGACACGGGGTTTTTACAACACCCCAAGTTTCATTCTCATGAGATGTGCAGAGGAAGCATGAGGAAGCAGTCCATGTTGTTTTGGGGGGAGTGAGGGTTTTGTAGAGAAGTGGGATGAGTTAGGTGTGGAGATGCTCCTTTTCTTGTTGAGGAAAGCTAGGGTAGCTCCAGAGCCCCGAAACGTCGCTTGCAGGATGTGTTTTATCATAACCGGTTCTTTTAAGTTCTTTTAAGCAAAACAAACATCACATTTTATGAGAAAAATAACCGTTCCCAAAAACATTTGAAGCTCTTTTTTTGTTCTGAAAAATCCTCACCAAACACAAAACCAAAAAAGAATCATATTGACCTTCTTTTTCTTCCAAAAATACCGAAAGAAAACAAGAAACCTTAAACATATTACGTCTTTCGCACGTGTTTCCCGATACATGGGCCGATACATGTGGCTGTGAGGCGAGCTCCGCGACCTCTTCATCGAGGCGGAGCACTTCGGCCTCCCAGAGCTCCGTGGCCGGTGCCCCGGTCGCCACCCACCACCCCAAGGCTGTATGGCTGTGTGATGGCGCCGAAGGACGGCTCTGCTTTTTGGTTCACCGAAATCAGAGGCACAGAATAAGACTAAGAAGTGATCAGACAAGCAATAAGATGGGTCACACAAGGTTTCACCTTTTGGGTTCACCTAAGTGACGGGTTCACCAAAAAGCAAGACATGCTGAACCTACCAATTGGACTAGGAACACAGCCGAAAACTGGCTACTTTCCGGAACGTGAAGCTTGGAACCCCAAAAGCCATAGATATGGGGTAAATGGGTCCCAAAACCCCCGGTAGGTCCACCTACTCCGTTCCAAACCGTACTGGTCCACCCCAGTCTGTCCCATACCATGCAGGGTGTGTGTTTGGACTGGTTTTCACTCCTTCCAAAAGGAGTTCCAGCATTTTGCTCCACCCGAGGATTCTGAAGAAGCGGAAGGTGGCGCACATGGTGAGCCTCTTTTCAGGGAGCGCAGGCACGGGTCGCAACAGGAACAGGTCATGTGGGATACTCTGTATTTACTTGAGGATGCAAAAATTTTCTGGTACGCTATTGTGATTTGTCAGGAGGACATACGGTTTATATACGTGCCTTCTCCTTTGCTCATACAGACCGCCCATAGTCTTGGATTGGCAAGCAAAACCTTGGGCCCGGCCCTACTGATCCCACAAATTTGCTCAATGCCCAGAGTATACCATTCATGAGTCCCGTGCGCAACGGCACTGGCATGTACCTCCAACCTCAAGGGTCTCACACGTTCCACCCTCCCTGTACAGCTTCATCCACCCTCTCACAAGTTCCACAAGAGCACCTGATCTTTGCCGTGCCACACGCCCAACAAGCGCCTTTTGGCACCAATCCCCACATGCGTCTACGACGTGCACCTGTTGGTGCCGCCCATGGATGTACACACGCGGTACACGACGCTACACTGCCGGTGGCGCCAACGCCAGGGAATCCGTTCGACCTGGCGGCACGGAGCTTGTCCACCCTTCGCAACATGGCCTTGGTCGGCGCCACCACCGCCGCGAGTGGCATGGCGCTGCTGCAGCAGCTCAGGGAGACCGAGGTGCCCGGTTTTCTGTGTCGCATGGGACGTAAATGTTTAGTTACAAGTGCCTAATTTGTAGACTCTTGATTAGATTTGATGAGTAAACCTCGCCATATCGGAAGATGATTTACTTTTCACATCGAAGGTTTATTTTTTCCGAAGCAAGTTGAGTGGCTGTGGCGAAGATGCGTTGATTCCTTCCGAACCAAAAAGAAGGTTTCATGGACGATCATGACAGGAGTTGGTTGTTGGTGGATGTTGATGTTGATGAATTTTGTGCATGTTGCATACTGTCTTGTTTGGACATTCCTATGCCTAGGAAGTCCAGGTCTCTCCCAAATCACAGAAAGTCAAGGAAGAATTCCTGAAGTCCCTGAAGTCACCAAAAAGACCCTTGGTCAAGAAATGTCAAGACATTCTCATGGACTCCCACGTTTCTTTTTCCTGTGAGTTGAAGGCCTTTGGGGCTCCAGAGGCACATGCGAAAGCAGCCGATCCGACTCCCACTCCCAACAGTCCCAACAGCTCTGTCGACCAAAAAGAATGACACCAGCATCGACGCCAGACAGCATGTTGGTGCATATCACAAAAAGCAGGCAAACGTGTTGTTTTTCGTTTTTTTGAGCACTAAGTGCCTATTCTGTTCGACCATGTAGTTAGATGCATGCCAAAAATCCCCACATCATGGGCCCCCTTCCGCCGGTCCGTCCTTCGCAGGTGCCGAAGACGCCCACGCAAGCGCTGGAGACCTTGAAGTCCTTCGCGCCCAAGAGCTGAGCGCCTCCGTCCAACGGACTCCGATGATGTGGCCCGAAGAGCTGTGGATCTTGCAGGTGTTTTTGCAGAGTGGCAAGTCAAGTTCTTAGATGGGAATGGATGCAATGCAAGATGTGTGTGATGCACTTGTGTCATGCTTGGATTGGATAGATATGGGGTAAACTGGATGTTGGACTTTTCTAGAAGCTTCACTTGCCAGCCGTGTGTGTGTGTGTGTGTGTGTTGCTTTTCCATGCTCGGCACTGAACAAGCCACAAAACAGGCCATATCCCGTTGGCGCTCAAAAGAGCCGATCGGGTTGTGAGGATCGATTGGAAAAGGCCACCAAAGACCGTCGCTGTCGTGGGTTGTGAAGGGTGTTCCAACTCCAAACCGCAAACCAAACCCTGGGAGTCCAAGACCTTACTTGGACTTCTAGAGGGTATACAGTATATGTCCCTTCTTACTGTTCTATTTTGCTTGCTTGTTTGTCCCATGTTCTTCCTGGACACGTGGGTGTTTTTGGGAGGTGCACGGACTGGACATCTCGCCAAAGAAACACATCAACCAATGGCCTTGCGCCCTTTCTTTCGGCTTACACGTTCGAAAGATTCGATGCCCTTCCGTACCTGTGTGGATCCGATGATTTCTCGGGCTAAGGTGAGATCCTCTTCGATGAGGACGCAAGAAAAAGCATGCTTGTCTTGATTGCAACAGCATGGCACCGGGGGGAGGCCCCTCATTTCACTGTGGATCATTTGAGGCCACATCAATCCTGGCTATCACCATTCAAGAAAAGATGACGATCGCCGTGGTGGAAGCTTGAATTGGATCACAGGTATCAGCAGCTTTTCATGGATTGTAATTGTGAGGTCTTGGTCCATCATCACCCTCCACAAAAAACAGGTCACCCTCCCTTTCGGAACCCTTCTTTGAGTCAGGTCACTCAAAACATAGGTGATCATAAGTTTGGGGCAAGGCCCCTTCAGAACGGAGGGTCATGCTTATGTGTAGGATTCAAAGCAGACGCTCCCTACAGACTACTGGTCTACTGAAGTTGATCATGAAAGGTACCATGCACATCCACAATACTCAATGTAGGTCAAGGAGTCAAGGACCAGGTTTTACTGGATCAGGCCTTGGTCCTATCGATACTGCAAAGGAGGGACTCTACCTCAGACCTCAGACCTCTCAGACCTTGGTCTCCTCGGACCGCCTCGGCTTTGGACCGCTAGGCTTCTCGGACGTCCTCTACTTGGACCCCAGTGGGAAGCGGGTCGAAGAGGCCGTTTCTACGAGCCCACACCGGCGGGGGGGGGGGTTGGTGTTGTACAAAGGCCTTCTGCCCCGTTTGAGGCCAACTAGGCCGACTACGTACAGCTTTCGAGTGACTGACTTTGGGGGCGAAGGCTCGGACCAAGAAAAAGCAAACTCCCAAACCCCCAACAAAACCAACGAAGCCAAGACATGCCAGTTTCTGACACCTACAAAGAGAGGCAGCAACCCCCAGTAGATCGATCAGCTAGCGCTTCAGCGCACCACCTTTCCCCAATGGAATCCACTTGCGAGCGCTCGCTCCCGCGCCCGGACCGGTCGCTGGTCTCAGGCGGCCGCGAGCAACTTCTTTTGCGTCACCAAGGCGGCATGGACAGACTCCGGGAGACCTGAGGATGCTGAGGGGGGGTCCATTGAGGCGGCGGGACCCGGCGTCGAATTGGCTGATGAAGGCGGATGAAGATGGCTGGGAATGGGGCTCCTGGCCGCCTGGCCTACTTCTTGAGAAGGTGGTTAGGCTGGGTGAAAGGGGTCTAACCACCCAACCTGAGGAGATGGGCCAGGAGCCATATAGGGATGAGAGATCAAGAGAGAGGTGTGAAATTAGGCGGAAAGGGAAATCCCTCAAGATGGCCTCACTCACTGACGACACTCCCTGAAAGAATCATGCTGGAAGTGGAGTGAGTGAGTGAAAACGCATCCGAGTAGTGTCGCTCTTCCTGTTGCTCATCCGAGTGCTCATCTTCCCGGAATCCGCGTAGGACAGTGCGCGTTCTCCGCACGGGTTCCGCACGCGAGGACGGCAAGCTGAAGACTCCAGCCTTGGGGACCATTCTGTCGACGCCTCGGAGCTGGGTAAACAGAACCACGCTCCGCTCGGACGAGCCGGAGGGCTTTCGGAGAGACCGGAGGGCTTGGTCGAAGGAATGGGATGGTAAGTGAAGGATAGAATCCATCATTCTATGAGGATCAACTATCCAAAATGTGGCCTTTTTCCATCTTTTTCCTATCAGAGGTCACTCAGGCTCTAGGTAGTCCATGGTCGAAAAGTGCTGGCAGTTCGTGGTGGCATGACAATGTATACATAAAGACTTCTTGAGACTTGAGAGGTGTTTTTGCCGGCTTTTCATGGGGTGTAGGGACTTGGCTTGCTCCATGTATCCGCCACCAGAGCTTGTGTGGAAGCCAGAGCTCCAGTGAAGCCAGGTGCAGGAAACGCTTGAACAACAGGGTGGACCCTTACAGAATTCATCCTCAAGTGGATCGATCGCAGTCTGTAGTTCCTAGCACATCCACATTGTTGACATATATCTATGGCGATCGATCGAAAAAGAACTCTTGGGACCAGTGAAGCTCGACCTAGTCTAATAGTCGTTGTTTGTTCTTGAATTCCTAGGATCACCCAATTTTTAGAGTCTCTTGCCTTCTCTTTCACCTCAGATTACTCTCATTGCTCCTCCTCTCCCCAGCCCTCGTTCGTTCGCGTTCGCCCAGGGCTGGAGTCACCCGAGATTCGATCTTGCAACTGGCGAGGCCGCTCTGGTCGCGACTGAGGAGTGTTGTCTTTTGGTTTGGATAGAGTCATAGATGTCATAAGAGTGATGAGGTACAGGCACAGGCACCACCCTGGCACTGCCATACACTTAGGAGTGGACTGTATGGGTACCAGTTAGGCACCACCCAGACTTGTTTCGAGTGGATGTTGGGTGGTCGTTTCGACACCCTTCTGAGTACGGGTGGCTGTATCCCAGACACGACCTGTTTGGGACTGCCAGGACGGACTGCCGAGAAACGGCCAGGGGTGGTGCTAGGGGGTCTGTCTGGGGCGGCAGTCCTATGGCAGTCCCATTTGTCGTGTGTGGGTATGTGCATCTTCAGATCCTGCATCTTCAGATCCTGACTTGAGATGATTGATCTCACTGACTCATATTTTTGACTCGAACATAAACCAAGAAGAGAGCAGCTTCTTTCCGGATTGGCCACGCGAGATGAAGCTCCAGACTCTTGGAATAGACAGTCACTTTGATGTGCTAGGAAACTGGTTCTGTTTGATCACGTGGCCAGCAGGTCCTCCTGCTGTTTGGGGCTCCTCCTTTGAAGCAAGCTCATTAACCTCAACAAGTCCCTTTCAACGGACCCAAACTGTATTTGTTGTTGGTTTTCGAAGGGAGGAGGGACTAGATGATGGATTTCCTGCTGCTTTATGACGACGACTACCACCACCAATACTATGATCACTACCACGATCACGACCACCACCACCACCACCACCGCCACCACCACCACCACCGCTACTATCACTACTCCTGCTACCACTACTTTCTCAGAATATCTCAGAATATTAGTATAGGTTTTATTAATTGGTTGAGCTCATGCCAAAGGAATAGAACTTCATTACGCCAAAAAAGCGGTGAAGTCGAGTTCTGGGCGTGAAAACCCACCCCTGGGTGTCGATAGAAGTTCGCCGCAGGCACTCGCCAGGTCGAGGACTACCAAGAGAGGTTAAGAGACCTTATGTGTGTTACATGGGTGTGTAGTTCAAGTAGGGAGGCCTCTGTCGGAATGCCCTCTAGGTTCGCTTCAGAACATCGATGAGACCCAACCTGGTGGGGCTGGTGTGGGGTCTCCCTATTCAAATTACATACATGCAACATGTACATACCTATATAGTTTGGGATAGGCTGGGGTCGCCACTGGCCTTCTTGGGGTGAGAAACACCCTGACTGGTAGGACTCCCTGCTTCCGAACAAACCGGAGGCGTTTGGCCACGCAGAGCGACTTGATCAACTCCGTGGAGGCCTTTGGGACAGCAAGTTCTGGGACAGCGTTCGAGCCGGGAGTTGCTAGCGGAATTCCGTGGTGAGTTTGAGGGATTGGGATGGTTATGGATGGTTAGCTATGCCCTAGAAGTCCAGTTCGACTATATTTTGACCGACTGAAAGTAAAGGAAATTCCTGAACTCGGGTCACCTAGTCAGACCATTCTTTTATAGTCTTTGACTCCCAGGGTAGTCTGTAGGATGTGGGATAGTCTGTAGGATGTGAATCTGATTGGTGAGTGCCTCGTCCACTGCGACGCCTAGCGCCCTGTGCGGGGGTCCAAAAGCCAACATGACGAGGGTCCGTTCAAAGGAAAAGATCTCATGGAAGCCGTTGAAGACCAAAGAACAAGGAACCATAAAAATAAGACAAACCAAGAAGAAGCAAGATTAGCAACCAGGGACAGAAAAAGAACTCGCTAATAAATGCCAAAAGACACTCCGCATGTCCAAGAGGGATACCCAAGTGACCAATGTTACACAACACATGGATGTTGACATCGGTTTTGCGGAGTGTATGGCGATATATATGTTACCAAATTGGGTGAATCCCCAAACCAGGGGGGTCAATTGTTCTTGTGGTTTTCACCTTTTTTCCTTGCTTCCGGTATTATCAGTTCCACTAAAACCTAGGTGTTGAGCATTGTTTAGCTAATTTGTGTTCATGTTGTTCAGACCAGGCCTCCTGAGATTTGGAGAAACTATATAAAAAAGAAAAATGAGTGCGATAAAGTATGATTGGTTTTCGCAATTCGGTAGTGTCATGTTGTTCGAAGCTGTCTTGGTTTTGCAATCATATTATCTCACACATGTTTGTTTGGTTATTTGGTGAAGCACCTCTTGGACAATTTGCCTTGAAGCTCTCTATTTACATAGATTCCCAACGTTTATTATTGCAGAACGTGGGCAGCATACATTTAGCACATCAGGTGTTCTTCAATATACATATACAGATACCGATTGTTATTTTCCTGATACTGATACTGTTGCATAGTTTTTTAAAGTTTTGTTTGACGGCTTTTGGGGAGTCCTGGCGCCACTGTGCTTCCCACAGGACCAGAGGGAGGTGTCCACATTCAAAAAGTGAGCAGCAAATGGAGCACCAAGTGTTATGTGTGTTTTGCTTAACATGTTCTATACTCTCAACTGTGCTTTTGAATTGACCAAAAGGAAAGCTGCTTCAATCGTAAAGGGTGTTCTTGGTCAAGTTGATTTGTTTTGTTTTGTGTTGTGTGTTCTTTCCTGAACACATTGTTTTCTTAAGAACATTAAGATCCAAAGAACAAAGGAAGACATTACCAAAGAAGGTCATGAAGTAGACCAGGTGCAAGATAATTTATTAACATTTATTCATGCAGAAAGCTACTGGGAAAGGCGGTGCGGCGTTTCTATTGTTCTATAGTAGGTGAACTCTTTCTACATGTTAGACTGCGTGTTAGTATTGAGCACCAAATGGAAAGCTTCAATCTTCACAAGATTGCTTTTCTAGGTCAAGTTGCTTTGCTTGGTTTAGCTCTTTCAAACCAGGTCATGAGCGGTCGACCGAACGGCAAGAAGATTGGTCGAGTTTGCCCTTGGGACCCGAGTGAACACGTGGACATGTCTGTCTCCCCTGCTATTCAGACCACATGGAACCCCATGAACCAGCGCACACGGTGTGCAAAGGAAGACATCGGCTTCCACCGGTCAATTCTCAGGTTCCATGGGAAGATCGTTGGCAAAACCAAAGGACCTGGGACCATTCGGAGCCCCCCTACCCACTGGAAGAGGTGTAAACGTTCGGTAGTTCCTTTACCTACCCCGGGACCTACCCCGGTGAGTGTGGATGACCATTGGCTCATCGTATTTTTTGGGGCCGTCGGGTTTCTCCCACTCGAAGTCTTAGCCCCAGAACGGGCGGAAGAAAGCTCAAAGTGCATCGGCCAGATGTGTGGGAACAATCCATGGGGGATGACGGTTCGCTTGGTCGCTGCAAGGAGACGAGCATCACCTTGGATGAGATCCTCCAGGCCAAAGAAGCCTTCGTCACTGGCACGGCGGCGGCGGCTGGAGCCTCAGGTTCGATCTCCTGAGATGTGAAGAAGGAGTACCAGGAGTGCCTTGCTAATGATGATCTAATTATGATAGGTTTTATTGATTATAGATAGGTTGTCATGTTTTTCACCATCCCAAGACCTCCCCAAAAAGGAACCACGCACTTGCACTTGCATGAATCCATTGGGGATGAATCAGTTAAATGGGCTTGGCCACGAATCCTGACCCATCCTGTCGCCGAAGCCTCCCCTTGGGCCTTGGCGTTTCATCGCTGAGGTGACGCCCGTGGGGCATGTGGCCTCTGTGCTTTGCCAAGACTGAGAGAGTTGGGATGGGATTCAGGATGATTTAGGCCCCTGGCGGCCAGGAGTTCGATGCTATGCTTGATTGGAGTGGATCCAGTATCCGTGGTACTCCTGGTAGGCCATGGCTTTCCATGGCTTAGATGTCTTTGGTGAGCGCCATGTTGACATGGAGCGAACCTCACCACTTCCCGGAATGAAGATGTGGCTGCCATGAGGGTGACGAAGAGGAGAATTCTGAACCCAAAGAAAAGATGGTGAAAAAAGGTTTCCACGTGTCCAAGGAGTTCTTGAGACCCGATCTGGAGATCAATCCCACTCACCAGCTGCGCCAGCTGCGCACCTCCAAATCCGCACCGTTTTTTTTTGGTTCTGCAAACCGCACTGCGCGCTGTGAGGATGATGGCTCGGTGGATTTGGAGGTGCCAGGCCCTGTCACGGCCAAGTTGAAGGACTGCACTGAGTGGAGAGAGAGGCACTCGGAGCGCATGCTTTGGGATGGACCATGATTGACCGTGCGCACGTGTACCAGGAGTTCACTTACTGGAGATCCCCAGTGGTTTCTAGGGATTTCTGCTGGTGCAGGAGGCGGCCCAAGCATCCCTTGATGGCTTGATGGTGTGCAGATGATCGATGATCCGTCCCAAGCTTTGTCACTCCCAACAAAAGGCCTGCAATTCCTCCGATTCATCAGAATCATAGTACTCTATTTTCGGTGAGGTCTTTGTAGCTCAAACCCTCAGATAGGTGAAGAACTGGCAGGCGTGTCTGAGAACGAAATGAAGGGGTGCATCATAATGGTGCCATAGAGTCCATACCCACAAGCTCACAGCCTTTTGTTCAAATGAGAGCAACTCTCATACATGGGAAGCCAGCATGCTCTTCCTGCAAACTCCTGACCGGTAAGAGAGCAATCTCATGGGAAGCGTAACCCCTTTGAGACAGCTCGAGACTTCAACTTCGGGGGCAACCACCGGGCAATCCTTCAGGACTGGCGCACTATATGGCGCACTGAAATCAGCCAAAGTAAGTTGTGAAACCTTGTAGTCCTCATCAGCAGCACCAAATGAACATCCATGAGCCACGCGGAGTGTTGGACGCGAAGACTCGTGTTCTCGCGGGAAGATGAGGATCCTCAGGAGTTTTACTCCAAGATCCTCAGTGTACATTCCGTGAGTACAGTCCTCCGGAACCATGTCAAACATCAAACAGATCGACAACATACAATCCCGATCGGGATCCGTTTTCGTACCGAACCTCAGGTTCGGTACGACTTGACCCGACGTTTTGGCACCTACATAACAGTGTCTCCAATTACCGTACCTCAGAGTATGTCGATCCCGAATCCCGAATGAATAACATACAACGACACGACAAGAACCACGTATCAGGACCCAGAGTCGGGGTTGTTCAGTTAATGGCCATGGCGGCGGCAGCGGCGGACGTCCAGCAACATGTTGCGAAGACAGAGACGAACGCGTCGGTGGTGGAGATGTTGTTGAAGCTTGGGTCGCAGGAGTATGGCCTCGCTATGGAGTATGGCCTCGCCATCATGTCAATCATGTGAAATCCATTTTTATCCGAAAAACGGGTCAGTTTTGACCATATTTTCCTGGGGTTGATCATAATTAGAGGGAAAGGAAGATAAACCAACCACCAATCCCAAAATGGGTGGAATTGTGGCAGCTTAGGTGAGGCTTGCGTGAAGGGGCCTCACCTAAGCTCACTTGAAAGAACACTTGCTATACCAGGCCACTTACTTTAAGGCCTCAAGGCCCGTAACAGGTCAGTTAAGGCAGAGATCATGGACGGTGACCAAGTCGTCCTGGTGGAAGCATATATCAATACAAGTTCCGGTCCTGGTGTGCATATCAAAGGAAATAAAAGGAAAGACCTGGCATGAACATCAAAGCATATATAACCCAAGGGAATAACCTGTACAGAATCAGGGAGCCTGGGTACCAAAATCAGCTAACCGTACACCAAGGTATATCAAGATCATGCCCAGGCCCCATGCTGGAAAGTGTCGAAGATGGCTTGGTTGATGGCTTGGACTCCTACTTGGCAACTGAAGGGGTTCCGCACCCTCAAAAACAGCTTTCTGGCAACCTATTTACATTCTATTCGCCTAATCACACTTCATCCACTACCTGGCCTTCCAACTCACATTTGTTGGATTTTGCTTGGCATGTTGCAGAAAAGATTCCAATATCCCCAGTTCCACCTCGGCCAGTTCCACCCAAAACCTCTGCCAGTTCCCCCCGTTCCCAATCCGTTCCTTCCCACCACCCTAAAGGTCGGTACCAAAGCCGCCCAAGCCGTCGCCTTCCCAAACCAGCCGTCAACCGTCGCTAGGAAGCCGCCCATCTATTGGCTCTTCCATTCCTGGCGTCTCTTTGGCCCCTCGGTGCGCGGAGAGCGCGGAGAGCGGAGCGCGGAGAGCGCGGAGGCAACGACGACGACTTGGCTTACGTCTCAACCCCAAAGATCTCGGATCTGAAGAGAGTGTTGTTTTCGGAACTGAAATGGACCAAGCATTGAGAACGCCAGACAAATATGGCCGATCACGTCCCGGCTCGATCCCAAAACAGGACGGCTCTTTGGGGTCCCTCTAGGGCTCCACGTACTGACATTTGGGGTCCAAATTCTGTCACCCAAAGACCGCGGGTTCCGCGGGGCTTGGCCGCGTGGCCTCTTCCGGCGGCCGTCTGACAACGGCAGGAAGGACCCACCGTTGTCACGTCGTCATCATCCATAAAGGCCTTAAATTCCTAAAATAGTCATATACCCTACTTATGACACTAATGTAGGATAATGTAGGTAAAACTAGTCCATACATGCATTGTCTGGGTTTGGATTCCTGGAGACCCATTTCCCAGACACCTCGTGTAAATCCAAGCGACTGGACGGTGACCTCCCAGGATACATCCCTTTGCTGCCGCCCCTGTTGGCGTATCAACCGGTGAAGACGGTTGCATTGATGACCGCCTATGCATCCGTGCACCGCAAACGCTGGTGGCAAGAGGCAGTGCACAGGAGAGCGCCGCACGCGGTTTGGAGTGGGAAGACTTGGTCCTAGGTTGGGAAGGCCAGGAGCCCCGAACGTAGTGTCCTTGCTGCTAGTACTAAGGCCAGGAGCCTCTAGTAGCGTCCTGCTCCTAATAGCGATGCCAGGAGCCCCTAGTAGACTAAGTCCTAACCATGTCGTCTCATGTTGTTGCTTCGGAGCTCACCTTTTCGCCAAAAGCAACGCGAACTCACCGGGTGTGTGTATGTTTTTAAGAGGGAGACGCCTTTTTCCGGGTGTTGCTTTGTGTCCTTCTTCCAGGGGGTCGAACTGGGAGGTCTCCCTGTTTTTCCCGAAAGCATTGCGAAGGGTTCTTCCGGAAAATCCTTTGAACACTGACACTTCGACACTTACACTTACACACTGACACTTTCACCACGTGGAAGTATGCAAGTGTAAGTATGCAAGTGATGAGTATGCAAGCATGCAATGCGTATGCAAGCATGCAACAAGCATGCCGGAAGATGAGAACTGGCGACTTTCTAGTACAACTTTAGTACGCGGAGTATCTGGGGAGCTGGAAGATGAGAACTGGCGACTTTGTAGTACAAATTTAGTACGCGGAGCAATCTGTGGAGCTGGAAGCTGAGAACTAGCGACATTCTAGTACAACTTGAGTACGCAGAGCAATCTGTGGAGCTGGAAGATGAGAACTGGCGACTTTGTAGTACAACTTTAGTACGCGGAGCAATCTGTGGAGCTGGAAGCTGAGAACTGGCGACTTTGTAGTACAACTTTAGTACGCGGACTATCTGGGGAGCTGGAAGATGAGAACTGGCGAAGTTGTAGTACAACTTTAGTACGCGGAGTATCTGGGGAGCTGGAAGCTGAGAACTGGCGACTTTGTAGTACAACTGTAGTACGCGGAGCAATCTGTGGAGCTGGAAGCTGAGAACTGGCGACT